GCCGACCTGTGACAGTCTCATTGTCACAGGTCGGCTAGAACTATGAGGTGAGTGGAAATCACTCCCCCCCCCTCCCCCCTCATAGTTCTCCTTTAACACTTCTATATTTAAGTAGAACTTTACCCATAAAAGCCAAAACAACTAAATCCCCCACATATACCACCCGAATATTCATGCGGCGTTCAGGGTTCCTCCAGCACTGCTCACATTTCTTCTTCCCTGAGGCGGCCATTTTGTTGGAGCCCATGGAGAGCAGTCACTTCCTTGTTGAGGACGGTCAGTCTCTATGTCACAGGTTGAGCTCGGATTGTGTATCTCGGCTCAGCCAGACAGGGAAGCTGCAGTAGCTGCGCAGCGCCCAGACACAGCCGGGACAACAGAACCAGATCTTTAGAGACTGACCACGTTCTCCGGCGTCTCCCGGCCGCAGAGTCTGCTCACCTCTATCAGTTTATGTTCTGCTGTCTGGGCCCTGTGTTGGAAGTCAGACTAGACATGTCCTCCAATATGGCTGACTGGTGCATGATGGGCAGTGGTGGTGAACCTTGGCAGCCCAGCTGTGCCAAAACTACAAATCCCAAGATGCATCTGCCTCTGGGAGTTATGTCTGTGGCTGTCAATGCCTTGCAATGCCTCATGGGACTTGTAGTTCCAAAACAGCTGGAGTGCCAAGGTTCGCCACCACTGGTATAGGACTTATGGCTGCCCATCGCACACACACACGATGTGAACCCCCCCCATGGCTCGGCATCTGCCTTATACCTACCTGCAGAATTGCCACAATAACCCCGAACAGGCCGATGGCACTGCCGAAAATCTCCACGATGAGAATCTTCACAAAGAGGCTGGCGTTCTGAGCGTCCGCCAGCGCTGCACCACTGCCCACGATGCCGACACAGATCCCACAGAAGAGGTTCGAGAAGCCCACCGTGAGGCCAGCTCCAAACATGGAGAACCCTGCAGAGACAAGATAAACATGAGACCCGAGGCCGAGCACAACGCAGGAATTATCATCGCAATGTGCGCGGCGGGGGAATCACTACAATGTGCACATAGAACGTCTCCTCACATGACAACGCAGGAAGTACTGAAGGAGATACAGGAGGAAAGGAGATTCACCAGACAGAAGGGGGGCCGCCGGAGAATGTGCCAAGTAGAGCTGCTGCTAACGATTATTTTCAAAATCGATTAGTTAGCCGATTATTAAGTTCGATTAATCGGTTAATCGGATAAACAATAAAATAAAGTTTAAAAAATGGCTCCAGTGATAGGACTACTAGTTTGTATTGAGGTTGTAGTCCATCACAGGAGCAAGCTTGGAGCGGTGGAAGTAAAAAAAAAAAAAAAGATAGTGTGGTGTGCAATATAGTGAAATGGAAAGTGTAAAATTATACAGCAATGAATGCAGAATGGCACCGGCTATAGAGGACTACAAAACCCAGCAATAGCACATTATACAGCACAATGCAGAATACCACCAGCTATAGAGGAATACAACAAATCCCAGCAATAGTACATTATAGCTGGTGGTATTCTGCATTGCGCTGTATAATGTATTATTGCTGGGACTTGTAGTCCACTATACAGCGCAATGCAGAATATCACCAGCTATAGAGGAGTACAACAAATCCCAGCAATACATTATACATACAGTGTATAATGTATTGCTGGGATTTGTATTCCTATGTATAATATACAGCACAATGTACCATCAGCTATAGAGGAATACAAATCCCAGCAATACATTATAGAGCACCATGTGTGGGAAAGTGCAGGCTTACCTGAGCAGTCTTCCAGCAACTTGCTTCTGAGATCGGACCTGTCTATCGGCGGCTGTCATCCCCCCACACCTGCTCCTCCTTACTACTTCTCCCCGCGTCCCTGTGCCGATCGTGGATGTGGGCGGGCGGTGAGCGTGAGGCGGGGAGGAGGTGCGGCGTGTGGAGCGTGGATGCGGGCGGGTCTGGCAGCGGCGAGCGTGAGGTGGGGAGGAGGTGCGGCGCGCAGCGTGTGTGGAGCCGTGAACAGGGCCAACTGATCGGAAGCCGATTAATCGATTATTGAAAAAGTTGACAACTTTTTCAATAATCGATTATGTCGATTAGTTGTTGCAGCCCTAGTGCCAAGAGCCTCATACAAAGAGGACATTGTCCTGAGACCCCGACAACACCGCCATCTAGTGACCGCAATGCAGAATGCAAAGTGCCGACAGCAACACAATGCATGTGACTGACCTGCGTGGTAGTTGCTACTCTTGATAGTCTCCGGAGTGGTTCCTGTGAAA